TAATAATAAAATACAATGGTAAGAATGACCTCACAATTCAAAACAAAAGAGCAACAGAGAAAACCATTGACTGAAAGGTTGTGAGTAAACTTGGAGAGCTAAAATCCATGTACAGTATGTATTATGTATATACATTGAGTCAGAATAATATTTGCTTCTTGTTTTTAATTTGTATCTATCCATTTCCTATTATATTACTAATATAATGTTCTTGCACCCTGAAGACATGCTGCTGCATCTGCACTATTGGACCTAGGAGCACTTTCCAGTTGCCTACTTCAGGTGCAAGCCTCAGTGCTACATAGGTCAAATGTATAGAAATTACATCCATTGGGTTTCTTCCAGCCCTCTCTTTTTTTGTTCCAGTGCAAATAAACCACTTCTGCAGGCTCTGAAATGGATCAGCGCCATACTCTCATAGATAATTTAGGTACAACCATGAAGAAGGTACTCAAACATAAACTACTGATTCATGGACATCTTACAGTTTCTACTTCAGCTCATGTTAATGGTTATAGATCAATAATCCCTTACAGCCAGTCCTCATTTGTTTGTTTTTTTTGTTTGTTTGTTTGTTTGTTTTTATTATTACTTAAACTGAAGTAATTTTACAATGAAAAATCTGTTTTGTGTTCTGTAAACATTTCAAATGCTCATACTGAGAGAAAAGGTATTTTCAGCTTTTTGCGCTCTGTTAAAAGCAGGGAGTATCCTCCCTGCTGGATTGGAAGGGAGATACAGGCCATGAAGAGCACATGGTCTTAAAAGGGGGAATGGCAGACATGCAAGCTGGCTCTTTAAAAAGCTCTCAAAGTCCTGCCATGGCTACTGAAATCCACAGGACTCAAGCACCACTTGATGAATGGTACTACAGGCCAGTGCTTCCTCTTGAAAATTACAACCAAACAACACACATACTATATCCAGATGCTTTCACTTTTACAAGGTGGAAAGGGCTTCCTGGTAACTTCCACCCTTTGGTGGTTGTTGGGGCACTAGGCCCTTCTCTTCCCATGAGGCAGGGCCAGCAGCAGGAGGTTTTACCTCCTCCTAGGCAGCCAGTCCCCTGCCATCATCCAGGGAAGCATCTTGGGAGCTACAGGAGACCAGCGGCATTACTTCTTGTGTTGCACCCCATGGGAAGTGATGCAGATCCCATAGTGAAATTAATTTAGGAAGTAACACCCCTTTGCAATCAGAATAATTAACTTTCAGATTTGAGAAGTTAAGGGTGTTTATAAATACATGCTACTACATCAATTAGGTCACAGTATAAAGCTTTTCAAATATGATTAAAAACTTCAATTTACGAACACAAAAGTCTTCTTGTAATCATGAAATTATGATAACCTGGAATACTCCAACTAGTAGTCTTCCCTAATTGCCCAGTTTCAAATGAATGTGGAAGATCACCTTTTGTTATTAGAAGGGAAAAAAGTGGAGCATTTTGCTAGTCAGCTTGATAATGTAGGTTTTAAAATCTTTGTTGAATTTTGAGACAACATGATAAAAATTACAAACAGCTGATGTGCCCATTTGGAGGTTTCATTAACAACATTATAAACAGTTGTTTTATAAAGCCCTGTACAGTCTATGAAGCAGAGTATGACCTTCCTGCCTGCCTTTGGGTAAGAAACTCTAGACACTGCTTTGCTTTTTCTGTTGAGCTCTTGCTGCTGCAGTATGTCTCTACATCATTGTAACCAAAAGCAATTCATGCATTAGTTCCCCATTTTTGGCATGACTTTTCAGACTTACTAACTGCTCGTTATGGGTCACCATTAATCCCACACAGTCAAATGACCAGAAATGATGTGTTATTTTATTAAATAAATGCACTCACAGTTACCGTGACAACACTGTGCTAACAATGGGAGCTGCTTCCAGTTTGATTAGCAAGAGTGAGGTTTCTGTAGTGACAGTAACCTCAGCAGACACTTCCCTTCAAGGTGACAGGGTCAGCAAGTGGAGTCCCTTTCACGTGCATGCACACTTCAAACACAGCTCTGCAAATCTCAGGGCCTTGCTCCATGGGAATCAAGCTCCAGAGCTACTTAAAGAATACCACACAATGCAAGCCAGCAAGGCTGTGAATTTCATAGTCCAAGCAGATAATCTGTTCTGCCTTACCCACCAGCCCAAGTCACATGAGTGATTCACATCTCAGTCATAACCTTATGTCACCCAGCAAAGAAATTCATACTGTGCTACCTAACCCATGACTAAAGCCCAGGCAGGAACCTGACCTTTCTCACCTCAGCAGTGATGATACTGTGGGAGCTGTCAAATGAGCAGCAGCTTCTGGGACTGTTGCTGGAAAACTTCCTATGCTCAAAGCTTGCAGAACCTAGGTTGTAAAAATATTGGCAGGATGAGAGTAATATGTTAGCACATGCAAGGAGACTTCACCTTCTACCATGAACTTTAGAATACCTTTCGTGCTTGCTTTGAGTTAGTGGTCAGATCAACAATCTGTGTAAATAACCAATGAATCTGATAATGAAAAAACACTGGTAAATGTATATACAATCTGTATAAACAATCACATTGCTTTGAAAAGTATTCGGAATGCAATGTAAATTAATATATTACTTGAACTTCACTTTGCCTTGTCTATTTTTGAGCAGCAGTATTAGCAAGAGAACAGCTGATTTCTAGAAGTAAGACCTATTTACTCCTGTAGCACACCAGGCAAATGATAAAGCTTTAAGGTTTTAATACAATACATAAATTCAATGAGTTTTGTTATTTTATATTTAAATTTTGTTTAAATTTGAAATAAAAGTATATATTTCCCTATGAAAGAAGGCTGATAGGTATTTGGTGTTGAAGTTCTTTGTCAGACTACCAGTTTTCATAGGTTTTAATGGTTCCTGAAGGAAGAAAATCATTCTTGCATAAAGGAATGCACCACTTAAAGCTTTAGGTAGAGCTTTAATATCCATACAGCTTACTGCAATCCATTAGTTTGAGTTAATTTTAACTAAGATGATAAGTAACTCAGTAATACTGAATTGGGGGGGGGGGAAGTTGTGTGTGTGTGTTGTTTTGGGTATTCTTTAAAGTTTATTAGGGCAAAAGAAGCACAGAAAGTTGAAATATAAAATACTGAAACCTCCAATTTAAATTCCAGATTGGATTTCAGTACATTTACACACTTTTACTGTGCTCAGATCTGTACTGCAACATCCTCCAGATATGCCACCTCTGACGGTGAGTAAATCACTGTAAAAATACTTCACTTTTTTAAACTCTCATCGTTGCAGTACTGCCTGCATAGGTCATAGTGCCAGGAGCAATTCCCACCATAGTTTTGCTCTCTTTGGCAGAGCAAGAGCAGCTTTGTCCAGGGATTTTGCTACCTCTAGATGCTGACTACAGATCAGCACTGCCTTAGTATATATACCAAGATATCAGAAGTGTTCTGTTGAACTGAAATTGATGAAAGAAATTCACTTAGACAGATATCAGCATGATCTGCAATGTATAACACTACATAATTAAGTTTATTTCTAGATTTTAATTAGCAAGAACATGGTTTCCATAGAAGGTTAGCAAATTCCTGGTAATTTGCATGCAAAAACCTGGAAGTAATTAAAAACAACAAAAATAGCCATATAAAGGTTACTGGAACTGAAACAGTGATTATGCAAGCTAAATTTAGGGGAAAAAAAACTTATTTAAAGAATGAACATTACTTAGGGTCAGTGTTAGGATACTCAGCCTTCTTTGGGTAAGGAAGAAGGAACAGTTAAAATGAAATCTGAGTTAATCATTATGAATATGGCCATTTTCCTGGCTTTAATCAAACAGACAATAGTGATTTTAGTCAGGTTTTTCTGTCTCCACTCTCTCAATATACAAATCAGCTCTTCAGCTACAGAAGAGAGCTGTAATTGCTGTCCTGAATTTTGGGCCACTTCTCTGATGTAGGACACTTTAAACTTGTTGGGTTCACCTACATCCTATGCCCCTTTCATATTCAGGGCCATCCTGCTGCTTTACTGCACCATTTAAATCCTACTTTCTAATCCAAGCCCAGCGTTTTTGGACTTGATTTTTGGTTGTTTTATTTGAAATAATCCAGCCCATGTTTGTTACAGTGTCTTACTTTGTATGCCCCTTGTAACTACAAAGTCACAGAAACCCAGAATGGGTCGGGCTGGAAGGGACCACAGTTGGTCATCTGGTCCAACCTCCCTGCTCCAGCAGGGTTAATCCCAGAGCCCACGGCAGAGGATTGTGTGCAGATGGTTCCTGAATATTTCCAGTGAGGGAGACTCCACAGCCTCACTGCACAATCAGTTCCAGTGCTACAGCACCTGCACAGCAAAGCTCTTCCTCATGTTCAGGTGGAAATTTCTGTGCATCAGTTTCTGCCCACTGCCTCTTGTGCTTTTGCTCAGCACCGCTGAGCAGAGCCTGGCTCCATCCTCTAACACCTCCCTTCAGGCACTGACAGACACTGGTGATGTTCCCTCTCAGTTGCATCTCCTCAAAGCTGGACAGGCCCAGCTCCCTCAGCCTTTCCTCCTGAGAGATGCTCCAGTCCCTCACCCACCCTCGTTGCCCTCCGCTGGACAATAAAATAATTACACAATAATTTTTGTAAAGTAACTACACTTACTGTGTTTTACACAGCATTTCACAGGGGGCGGGAACTACTCAGGCCTCGCTTCACTCCCCGCACTGGTAACAAAGCTCACTGAGGGACCTGGAGTTTATCAGCAGCCAGCGCTTAAGGCCGAGGTCAAATAAGACTCCCGGAGGTGCCGTTTATTATCCCCGGCTTCCTGCACGGCTGGAGTATTTTGTGCCCTCACAAGAGCGGCTACAGCTGAGATGCCCCGAGCGCCCTCACACTCACACCGGTACCGAGGCGTGGGAGCCCTGAGCACAGCGGTGGCCGCGGCCCCCGGGGAAGCAGACCGGGCCAGACCGGGCCAGACCCGGCTGGCACGGCCGCACGGCCATGCCGCTGAGGGCGGGCTGGGCCCCGCGGAACTACAGCTCCCGGCGTGCCCCGCGCCGTGCCCATGGCCACGGGCCGCCGGGCCCGCGCCCCGCGCAGCGATGCCCAAGGCCAGGTACCGGAGCCCTGCGCGGGCTGGAGACGGCGGAGCGCGCCCGCTGCCCTGGGGAAAGGGGCGGCGGCCGGGGAGAGCAGCCTGGAAGAGGGAGGAAGGGAGCTAGGGAGGGAAGGCACGCTTAAAACGGGCCGTTCCGGCCTCTAACTAAAGCGGCCCTTGTCCGGTTGTTTCTGTAAGGGACCCCACAAAAACGGGGCGTGCAGGTGAGCGCGGGTGCTCCTGAGCGCGGGGAGCCCTCGCAGCAGCCCGGCACACCGAGCGCAGCGCCGGAGCTCTGCCGAGCCCTCCGAGCCGTGCCCGGCTCCAGAGGCTGCCAGCCTGCTGCTGCGGGAACACGCAGGAACGGGTTTGCTTATCGCGCCACAGAACCTTTTAAAGGTGTCTCTGCACCGCCGCGGGCTGCCCGGGGAAAGAGGTGCAGTGACCGTCCCTGGAGGTGTTCTAAGGAAAGCCTTGACGTGCCACTCAGTCGCCACTGGACTTGGTGGTGTTCGGTCACACGTTGGCTAGATGATCTCAGGGGTTTTTTCTAATCTAATTTTGTCCAAAAAGTCCTCCCGCAGTACAGCTGGTACGTGCTAAGTGTGTGCCACAAGTGGCTGATGGGGTTATGGTGGAATGTCACTTCAGCTGGTTTAGTTAGTACTTCGACAAGCAGAGAGCGGGTGATGTGAAATAATAATAATCTACACCACAATAACCTTAATTTAGATGTTTTCAGGAATTAGGACCTAAGGTGTGTCTTTTCTCTAATTTTTCTCTTACTTTGTTTTCTTCCAACTAGTGATACTTTATGGGACCTTGCTATAGCTGAAGTGGAGAAGAGAGAAAATCCTGATGATGATGATGATGTCAAGCCAGGGGAAGTTTGGGAAAAATCAGTATTATTTATGGGAAACAAAAATGGGGTAATCTAAATACTGTACAATTCTACACTTTTTAAACATAATTTGTGTCAGGGAAAACATCTCATCTTTTCAGATGTTAAGGTTCACTTAATTTAAAAGACATAATAGCTCATGGTCTCATTCTACAGAGGTCTAATTGATTACTAATGTCTGTTTTAAGTACAGTGTTCCTATTACTATATTTGTCATGTCTATTTGTTTATATTTATAATAATGATAGAGTTTGATAGATTTGATTCTGATTGAAAACTGGACTTGAGTTTCCACTATAAGGCTGCAAACAGTTACATTCATTTCCAGCTTTCTGGTACTTTATTATTGGAATATTGAATGAATTTGACTTACGATACAACTTTATGCTTTAAAGGCGGTACAGTAGAGTTCTCTTTGTTTTTAATTTCTAGGGAAAGACCACTATCATACTGAGATGCCTTGAGAGGTATGTGTTAAATATTATAAAGCAGTTTTCAGCTATAGATTAAAAAACAGTCATATTGTATGATAATTCATAATACATGTATGCAGATGTGTTTTGTGACTGGTTGACCACTTAGGAATGAACTTATTTCCTGTCATTATAACCTCTAAGGTGACCCTTTCAGTCCTTCTCCTGTGTTAGCTGAAATGAATAATTTCTTTGGGCTGATGCTGCTTCTTCTCCTGTCTTCAGTACCTGACACCTCCTGTCTAAAATTGTCCTCTCTCTACTGCTGTCTCTGAGCCAAATTTTGACTGATAAATACAATTTAGTAACCATAGAATTAAGTTTCTTTCTTTAGAAGATCCTGACAAAATTCAGTTACTTTTCCTTTAGGGAAGAGTCTCCAAAGCCAACATTAGCCTTGGAATATACTTTTGGAAGAAGGGCAAGGAGACACAATGCAGTAAGTATAAAGTATAATTTACCATATCTTTATATAGATGCACACACCTAAAAATAACATAAAGAAATTCTTTTGCAGCCTAAAGATGTAGCTCACTTTTGGGAATTAGGTGGTGGAACCTCATTAGTGGAACTCATTCGAATACCAATCACTAGCTACAACATAAGGTAAGTGTAAATATTACAGTTCCAGAGTTAATTTGAGCTTTCCTTCAAACATTAGTAATCTCTAGACCTTTAATTTTTTCTGAAACCTCTTTCAAAGTGTTAAGAGCAATTACAGAGTTTTGCTAAGAATCACTGTAATATCATGATGCTTTGCTTTGGTCTTCCTTTTCATGCTTCTCTCCTAAATAAGTTCTAAGTAATCTCACCGAAACATGGAGGAAGTAGATTGGCCTTAAGTAGCTAGAACAAGAAATACAGAAAAAGATAAGACATAATATCTTTATGCTTAGTGAAGAGCAAAAAAACAGACTTGGGGAAAAAAGAAAAAAAAAAACCTGCCTCCCAACTCCGGGGGCAAAAAAAAAAGCCCCTTTCGGGAACGAAAATTCAAGGGGAAAAAAAAAGCAAAAAATGGTGACAAAAAATGTCTCTGGATTTTTGGAAAATTACCTTTTAACAAGAAAGTAATTTCCCAACAGAGAGATGACATGTACAGAAGGAACCAGAGCTACTGACATTATTTGAAAACAAAAGGAAACAGAAATTTTGATACAATTAAGAGAATGTAGTGAGAAAAATCCATTAAAGTAATGAATAGCATAAGAAAAAGGAATAGAAGAAAAACTGCATGAAGAAATGACAAGGTGATAGGGGGTGCTTTTTAAAGTTTCTTTGTTAAGGAAGATGGGAGTTGAAAGGGGAGAAAAGGATCAAAATATAAGTTTTGTATTATGATGTATTGCTTAATTTCATTGGTATTGAGCTTTAACTTCTGTGGGGAAGAAAAAGGAGGGATATCATTTTTATCAGGTATATTTGCTTCTGTTTTGACTACTGAGATAATGTCATTATTTGTTGAGAGACTGAGGGAATAAAAATAAAACATTTATGGCATGTGAAGCTCTTTGTCTCCAGAAGAGCTTGGGAGAGAAAAAAATTAAGTATAATTTTTCACCCCTTGACTAAATTAAGTTAATTGAGCTCTAACTCCATCAGTCTTTTCTTCCTTTCTGACTGATTAGGGATTTTCTGATGTGGATAATCTTAAGACTGTTTGCTGGGATAGCCATGTTCTGTAAGAACAATTCACTTCTGTTCACAAAGCAATATTTTAACATGCCAGTAAAAATTCTACTGTTTCCAAAAATATAAGTGCATTTTGCTGGTTTTCTCATCATTGTACTCAAGCAATTTGCTTATTTAAAAGTTCCATAAACTATATCTAGTTTCATCAAGAGACTTTTCACTAGATTTTTCCTCCCCACAGCATTTTAAAATTAAATTGAACACTGTTCAATTTCGTAGCTTTTGTAATACCACTCTGGTCTGGAATTACCTTTTTCAAGTCAGGCTAGAACGAGATAGAATGATGGCATCCATTCAGATTACTGCATTTACAATGATCTTTACAGTTGCACTTAAATGCAGCTGGTGTTTTGGGAGGCAGGGTTTTAGAAAGAGAAGACTTCAGATTTAAAACATTTCTCATCATCAATTCACCTTTAAAAGTCTGGTAGTAGCTAAGGACGTCATAAGTACTCTTTTATCTTTCAGAAGACTTTTCTTAGGCATCCATTCAAGGTTCCAACAAACTGTCACAGTCCATGACACAGAATATTGTCCTTACCAGGTTTTCTTCATTTCATACTAGAAAAGAATCATGAAAGTAGGGAACTTTCCCAGGGAAATACAGGGAATATAGGTAATAGTTAGGAAAGATCCTAGCCATTGGTTAACATTGCTTGGTCTGGGGTTGTAAACTTATGAGATGGCAGGGATACATAACAGCAGAAATCCTCAGTCATATAGGAAGGAACTACAGGGCTGAGGATATTTGCATATTTTACTGTTTGAAGATAGTACCCAAAAAAGAATGCTTGATTGAAAGTTGCCAAACTAATTGTTCCGAACAAGAGACAAGGGAAAGGTTTCTTCAGAGTGCAGAATATCCCTAAAAGCCATCTTGCTTTGCTGTCACATTTAATTCTCTCTTAGCAAATAGATGGACACATTTGCACTACAGGTTTGGTTTTGTATGAAAATGCTGATTGCCTCATGTGCTAAATATGTGACCAGATAATGTCTATTTAATAGATCATTTGCTGTAGTTCTGGTATTGGATCTCTCCAAACCTAATGAACTCTGGACTACTATGGAGAACCTTCTGCAGGTCACCAGGAACCAAGTGAATAAAATTTTAACCAAACTAGAAAAGACAAACCCTGAAGTAGCTGATGAAATTAAACAGAGAATGTGGAACGATCTACAGAGGGATCACCCTGTAAGTTACTTCTAATATTTTCTCCAGATGTCACAGGCCTTTATACAGTTAAAGATAATGCTTTAGAAAATCATAAACAACTCTTTTAGATTTTTATGCATGACTGAAAATCCATTTGATGTAGATGAACCTGTTCACTGGAAAATTATAGCAATTTAATAAAAATTCAATAAGAGCAGAAACAAGGAAAGAAGGTTTCTTATATCTTTTTGTTAGATATCTAATGTGATTGTTATGGCATGTTACACCAATCAAAAGAAATAGTTTTAGAGTAGCAGTTTGCTTTTTTTCCCCCTCATCTTTTTAAAATGAAGATGAAAACTAGAATGTACAAAAGTCATCTAGCAAGAGACTAGCTGAAGGTACAAATTTAAGCAAAGAATATAGTTATAACAGCCATCAACATGACTATATACTTTGCATTTATTTAAATGTCTATCACAAACTCAATGCCTTTTGATAATCTGACAACTAATTAAATTATAAAGTTTCAGAAATGTTAACATCAGTCCTTTAAACATAATTGCTAACTAAATCTCTGGAAAAGCTAAACTAGATTATGCGCAATAGAAATGAAAAGTCATTGTGCGTTAAACCTCTGCAAATGTTGTGTGTATATAATGCATAAATAAGTATTCAACAATTCAAAGACGTGGCATGTAAGTCTAGTTAATGTAACTTCTATAAAATACTTCAATACAGCAAGTGCTTGTAGAGCTCAGAAATTTAAAAGTAACTCAAAATACATAAGAAAGCAACATAAGCAGCACTCCATAGATTTGGCATATGGGGTTTGATACTGGGATTATTTTGGTTTTTACTTTTAGAGAAGGTAATTCACAAAAAAATAACACCTACCTGCACATTTGGCAATAAATTATGACCACAGTGTGTAGTTTCATATAGGGGTTTACATATCAGAAAATTGCAAGCTTACTGCAATAAAGAAAAATAATTATGTTATTATTTGTTAAGAAAACTTGTTATTCTTGCACTGTAAGAAACACAGTTGTACCTTCTGAACTAAAATTTAGCTTCCATTATCAAAGACATCAAAATGCAAATATTATATTTCTCCTTGGTTCTCTTCTTACTTTTGTCATTGTTCAAAGAAAAATTGTATCAATTTATTAGAAGAAAGTACTATCTTTTATAGTCAAATTGAATGACAGTTTATAGTGATCTTTATGTGTCTTTTAATAGCTAAACATATTTTTATCATAAACAGGAATCAATTAAATACATATATTTCAAAGGATTAAGATATATTCCATCAGCCTGGCTAAAGAATTATTTTCTCTGATGATAAAAAATATCAATTGCAGATCCTGTTTAAAAAGGCTGAATGCATCTTAAGTACTCTGTGGTCAAAAATAAATTCCACAGTCAAAACATGAATAGGGTTCAATATACTAGTTTTGAGGTTTTTGATGTTATCCAAAATTTTTCTCTTAGTTGTGAAATGAAAGCTATTTTTTTCAGTTTTATATTCTATATACTCTTTAAGTTGCGATAGTTTTTCTTAAAGCTTTTTCTTTGACAGTGTATGAGTTAAGCCATTATTTCTCCTTTCCAAGCAGAGGATTTTCAGTATGTGCAGCTTTCTGTCAACATTCTGTCATTTAACCTGTCTGAAATACCTGGGGTTAGGAGGGAGCAGTTGGACCAACCTCTGCTACAACACATCTTTCTTTCACTGCTGCAGCCAAAGCAGCTTGAATAAATAATTTCTTGAACACATGAGGGGATTATCTCATTTCATATGGACTACAGCAAATCCTTCCAGATCACCTGAGAATTCTTGAAATTCACTTATTAAAATTTTTATCCCACATTAGCTATTTAGCACATAAGTCTGCACTCTCAGACCTGTTTTCCTCCATTGATACTGATTCACATTTTCAAGATCATTGGATGACGTTTTCTCTTTGTGCTGATATCAAACCTTTGAAATTCACATTAAATATTGTTTAAGTGTTTGGAAAACATAATGTGGGGAGGAAAAATGTGTGACACAAGCAAATAATTCAATTTATTTTTTTGAAATTTTGTCTGCGTTCTTTTTGATTTTATCCAAAGAAGGTGAATGTCAAAAAGCCAGTTTGACTAATCCAGCCAGGCAGGTGTTCTATCAGTACATGAGGTTTTTCCTCTCTTCCTTTCCCATCTAATAATGTAATATACAGTGTAAAAGCCCTTTTATTCCAGTAAGTGTTCTACCTGCTCAGAGAGATTAGTTCCTGGCCATTTATGAAGAAAATGGGAAAATGGTAGAATATAATATGGATGTTGCATAAAGTTGATTCCTCTGTTTTAAGGTTTGGAAAACCTTGTCTTCTGTGAATTTATTTTAACCTCTTTCAGTTGCTTTAACAGTTGCAATCTTCTACAGTTTGTTTACAGAGTTTAATTGTCCTGTATCTTTTTAACAGGACAGTGCATTAGTTGACCCTTTTCCAATACCCTTGGTGATAATTGGAAGCAAATACGATATTTTTCATGTAAGTAATACTTAAGTACCTTTTTAATAATTAAATTATTCCCAGTAAATATTCTATATACTAAAATTTCACTAATATAATAGTAATCTTTTGAACTAAAGGGTGGACGGCCAGTCTTCTACCACAAAAAAAAAAAAAATCTTTCCATTCAACAGCATTAAGGAAGGCCTACTGCCATTCCTTCACAAAACACCCCAAAACTGAAGATTTTTTGAGATGTACATAGAAAATGTTGAGACACAAGTTGCTGCAGACCAAAAAGAGAAGCAAAACATCATTTCTTTTTATAATGCAATAAATCGAACTCCACATATCCCTTGTGACAGCAGCTGTAAGTTTATGGCAGTGAAAGAGGGGTGTATCTCAAGTCAACTGATCAGATTTTTTTGGTAGTTGTGGCAGCTTCAGTTTGGAACTTCTTTAAAAGTACTTCCTAAGTTTCTAGAGACAAGTGAGGAATTGCATCTTTTATGGAAGGGAGGAAAGAAATGTCATAGTACTGCTGGATTCTCTCCCAGGACATAAAAATCCCCAACAAACGCATACTCACTGCACTTGATCATGAGAAACTAGGACAGTATGTTTGATTTCTAGCAGTTGTGCTAGCAGCCTGTGCTTCTCTGGATGGCTACACTTGATACCTGGCTGACTCTGAGTTACTGAATTCTTTATTAATAAGGGACTTGCTTTCTCATACCGAAGCTTTGTGCTGAGCCACAACCCCCTTAAATGTCTCTCATGTAATAAGGACAAAATGCCATCCTGGTTCCTTTGGGGGTCTATGCATTGAGTCCTGCATACATCACTGGGACCAAATTTTTACCCATTTCATCCAGGGAATGTCATCTCTATGATCTTAGATGAAAGAGACATGGATAAAAAGGTATTTTGATGTACCTTGCAAATCTTGCCGATATTAGAATTTAGACAGCATATACCCAAAGATTTACTTAAATATTTTCACAAAAAGAAAAAAAAAATCTTCTTGTAAGCAGCATTTCTACTGGTAAAAATTTAAAACAATACCAAACAAATAAATTGAGAATTAAATGTGCCTTCTCAATTTAAAAACTTTTCCTGGACTAACATATTGCCTGAATTAGGCTTCATCTGTAAAAAAGAAACAAAGAGAAATTGTGACATTTCTTTTTAGAGTAGGCTGTTACTGATTCTGTCTTAAGATATAATTATGCTGACAGCTGAAAGCCTTATATATTGTAGCTTAAGTGCACTGCAGTTTATATAAAAAAAGAAAAAATTTAACTGTAGTATTTTGGGGTTTTTTCTTACATCTATGTTCCACTATCAACTTTTTCAGGAGTTTGACTCTGAAATGAGGAAAATAATAAGCAAGACACTTCGATTTGTTTCACATTATTATGGAGCATCATTAGTGGTGTGTATATTCACTTTCTATTTAAGAACAGAGAAGATGAACAATATTTCTGTTACAAAACAATATTTTTAAAAAATAGTACTATAAAACTCCTAGAGAAAATGGGATTTCATTGGTTTACAGTAGCTTTCATCATAAGGCTATCTGTTGAATAAGTCACTGTACTGGCAGTGCCTTGTGAACAAACAAACTACACAATTCCCAGTGTCAACAAACACGGAATGAAAATAGTTACTTGTAAGCCAACTTAGTTCCTGCATTAAGTTTACTGCATCTTTGGCAATTTTTTTTTTTTTTTGTACAAGAAAGGAGAATGGGCAAAAGTGATTACCTTAAATTGAATTAGAGAACTGGCCCTTTTGGTAGAAGCATGAACTTACATCAAGTGACCAAGCTTTCGTAGATTTAAAATCATTGGCTCATTTTCATAGTAGACCAGATTACTACACTTAGGGTGATGAAGAAGGACAGGAGCTTCCTTACAAAAGTGAGTAGAAAGATGCCAACATGAGGACAATGAAGTATTTATTTTAGTTTGTCAGATAATTCTCTGAGTAAAGACAGAAACATGCATGCTGAGATTCACAGTCCAAAACTGCTGCATCTTGGGCTCACTGTGCATCAGGTCTAATTGTGTCAACCATCATTTATGGAATAAATAATATTTAATAGTAGCTTAGTGGTTATCAAAACAGCTTATGTTTACTTTGAATAGTTATAATCCTAGCATGTCCTTTTGCATCCATGTAAAGCTTTTTCACTCTGACACATGAATTTGTCTTTTGTTAAGTGAGAGTACAAACATCTTGGTTGGGTTTTTTTTAGTATTTAAGCATTATTGTAATTAAAAATTAGAATATAAGTATCTTGTTGCTAAAGCCTGATTGTCATTGAAATGAGAGGCAGAAACCTAATTTCCCACAGCAGGGATTGACTTCTTTCTCAAAGACATGAATCTGTTAGGATACAAAAGCCCTTAGATATGAAGAAGCATGTTGTTTGAGAATATATTCTGAGAACTGCTTTCTGATAAATCTGTACCTTTCTGCCACATTGAAGCTGTTCTTATGGCAATTATATAGTTACTGATTACATTTCTCAATGTTTATGGTATTCTGGATAATATTCAATGTAATTTAAAATCTTAACTCATTAGTCTTGGGGAAAAGATTTGTGTCTCATAATGTGCATATTTGAAAAAGTTTTGAATCAGTATTTAAAAAATTAATCTTTATTTATTCTTTTTTACCTTTCTTGATCTATATATTCAGTAACAAATATATTCATGTTTTTGAAAGGGAATGTGAGCTTTTTATTCTAGTCAATTCAGTGAACATATACCAAATTTATTTGGGTCAGGTATTAATTAGAAAAGCTCTATCCTCTTTGTAGATGGCAAAATGCAATATACCTATGATGGAAGTTTCTAATACTGTTTTCTGATTAATTTAGTTTACCAGTAAATCTGAGGCTCTCCTGCTGAAAGCCCGTGCTCTTATTAATCACTTGGCATTTGGCTACGATAAAAGGTAATTTTATTGTTCAACTATTAAATGTCATGCTCAGAGCCTAAAATTGCATATTAAAAATATTTTAATCATAATTTTTTTTTCTTAAATATTATCTCTGAAAGATTTTTATTCATGGACTTGGACTCCTGTGACTCAGCTGCCTATCTCTGCTAAGGATAGTGACAACTCCTTAGTTTTGATTCTCAAAACAATGAATGAAAAATGTGGTTACCACTGGAATTGAGTACTATTTTATTTACATGTATTTATATCCAAACCCCAGTAAGACTCCAGTCTTGGTTAGAATAGTGTTGTTTTTTGTTGATTGCTAAATGCTCACTTGATACATTTTCTTTTTTTTCTGTTTAGCAAGTCTGTATCAGTGGATCCCAGCAAACCTCTCTTTATACCAGCAGGCCTGGATTCCATGAGCCAAATAGGTTAGAACATTTCCTGTTCATTGTTTGTTGCTTAATTCTTTTGAAAACAAGAAAAACATTTTAGGCAAATAGATAAATTACAGCACATCAGTATCATGAAGGAAATAGCTTACAGATTTTAAAATTGTGATTTAGCATATTACTGAGGATTATTTATGCAGGTTTGTTAAGTAGTTTAATAAGGTCTCTGGACTGTAAAAGAGTAAAGTACCAATAAGCTTAGATCTGAAAGAAAATAAAATATACAAAACAACCCATTTCATGGTAGGAGATCAGTGTTTTTTCAAATAGTGTTTGAAAAATATACAAAACCTCTTAGCCCATTTCATGGTAGGAGATCAATGTTTTTTTCAAACTTGTTGCAGCTTGTCAGTGAAGAAGGTTAAATACTAAATTAGATGATGGTTCATTATGCAAAATTATTCTGTGATTTATGCTGTTATGACAACACACTTGTCTTATGTGTGCTGTGATCCTCAGGACCACCACCTGCCTCTGACAGTGATCTTGGAAAGCTGCGTGCCAACACACCTTTGGAACTATGGAAAAAAGTATTTGAGAAAACATTTCCTCCCAAGGTAGGGATATATATCCCATGCATACAGCTGCTTTTCTTACAGAACAGCAGCAATATCCCTTCTTTTTGTCTTTCAAGTCCACTGACTGGAATTTCCATCTCACTTAGCAATTCTCTTTAATACATTTTTAAAAGATAAAGGCTTGGATGTAGTAGTGCTACTACATCTTCAGTCACCTTCCTACATTTAGAAATTATGAAAGGTGTTCTCAGTGTAAAATGCCCCAACATGATAAAGACTAAACTTCTCAGAAACTATACAGAAGTGCTATTTTTCATGTTAGTTTTCCTCATAACCCTTAAAAACAAAATAAACAAGTTTTCCTCCTGCACCCACCCTTCCAAGTGCCCCCTGAACTTCCCCTGAAACAGATGGAGAAATGAATACACTTCTCATCTTGCAAGCTTTATGGCTGTTCATCAGTGTATCAGTCTAATTAAAGATTTAAACAATTGCCAAATAGATTCACAGTCTCCTGATTTGATTCCACAATAGGCTTTAAACTTAGAAACTATTTTTTATGCATTGTAAACTTCTTTTTCCATTGCCTCACCTAAGAAGTAGAATTCTGTTTTATTTTATTCCATTACTGATATTATTGCCTTCTTGCTACTTTCCATTTGATATGATTGAGAAGAATTGTGCAGGACAACGTTTAAAAACAACCCTTCTCACTTGATAGTTTTTCTTACTATTAGTGTATTTGTCTTTGGAATTCAAGTTATAGTTCACTCAAAGCTAGGAAATGAAAATGCAGATATTTGGCAAAGATAGCAATCAGTTTCTCAGCTATTGAAGTAATAGTTCTGATAACCAGAACTGAATTCTAGTCATGAGTATTAAATAGTTCAGCAAGGACAACCTCAGGTGTGCCCTAACGTCATGGAACAGAAAGGATATTTTCATTTTGATGCTCAAGAGTAATAACCAACCACCAGATAAGAATATTTTCTGCCCTTTAGAATCTAGCTGCACTCTTATTTCTTCATTTTACTGACAGGTTTTTTTTTAACTAATCTGTTTCCTGTAGCACAAAATTGTTCCATAAATGCAAACTTTTAATATATTTGTATTAAAAGGAAATACTTTAATTTCTATAGTGTGGCTTTTTCTTATTAAAAGAAGATAAATTCTATCATTTGGGGTTTTGTCTTTTCTCCTTTTAGAGTTTCTGTGATTTACAAGATACCAAGGACCCCGCACAGGATAGTCAATATGCTGAGTATGAAGTTGATGTCATGAGAACTCAGAAAAACCAGGTGTGTGGTAATTCTCCAAATGCTGTTCACAGTCAGGTATTCCAGAACCACCAGCACTGCTGAACTAATAGTATATACTCTTACCTCCCCTTTTTGCCCTTAAATAATTTCAAGTTTAGATTTCAGCTTAGTTGTGAGATTTTTTTTTCCCATTGTTAAGATACTAAACCAGTAGATCATTGTTAGATCTTGAAGTTTTGGCTCTGAGTTTCTTTAGAAACTAATAATTTGATATTTTTCCTGAAATTTTACTCTAAAATTAACTCACTAAAATAAACTTTGAAGCTTTCTTGACAGTCATTTCCTCATTTCTTCGCTCTGTAGTCTCATTTGAGTGTTGACTAAAGAAATTGTAGGAAGCAATATCAAGGTCTGTGGTGGGGACTGTTTACTTCTGCTTACTTCAAAACTTATTTGAACTGGAAAGGGGCTCAGATGATAACATTTCTAACTTGAATTTGCATGCTACAGACATTTTGTCTTAAATAAGAGTGAATGGAATTGTTCTACAGAGTGATGACATGTGGTTTAACCCTTGAATTCCAGGAAAGACCTTTAGTGGGGAAAGGGTCTTCTATTTTTTCTTATAAATATTGAAGTGCTTCTGCTTTCTCTAGATTAGTGGGAAATTAATTTTATAGAAAAATTTTTCAGCAGACTAGGTGAAAGTTAAATGCTTGGCTTATAGCTAACAGCATGTAATATCAGCTGAGTAGCAGTATTGTATATAACAGTTTTCATCAGTATGTTCATAGGTATGGGTCTGTTAAAATCAAACCAAGACTTATCCAAAGAATAAAGCAATTTCAAAAATCCCCTACAGCCTTTGAACCTGCACATTACCTGCAATATCCTGTTAATGTAGGTATCAGTTCTGGATTTCTGTCACATCAAGAGCAGTCTTAGAAACCATTAAAATCTGTAAAGCACCCTGCTTTTGGAATTTATAATACAAACATATTCAGTATAGCTACATATCTCAAAACAACTATATGGTGTACTAGTTTTGTTATTTTTACATAATAATGTGTTGCAAAAGAAGATACTGGAATGTATTGATTAAATCATACAGGAAATTATTAATTTTCTGGTTTTAAACAAAAGAGACAGGCTTTTAGAATCTTAATCTGTTCAAGGGCATTGCAAACCATTATAGCTTCTTTTTGTTGGACTACTACAAGTAATTTGAGCATTAAAGAGAAAATTACTTTTGTTATCTGCAGTTATTTCCTAAGTTTTTATCACAGTTTAATTTTTACAAGATTATTTGCACATTATTAAAATGTTTTATACTAAGAATTTGAATTACACCAAGCTAAAAATATATATCTAAAAGAAAAGAACTCTCTAGTTGCAGTGTTTCTTGAAGTGTCCTTCAGTTTTCCAGTTCAATGGAAAGCAGCACAAAAATCGTGTTTTTAAAGCCACTTTTTAAATTCATCATGTGTCTGACATTCTTTATAATCTCATGGTACCTCATGTTGCATAGGAGGACCAGTATATTAAAGATGGTCAATATGCAACGTTGCTAATTTGCAAAATATGCAAAATATGCTAATGAAATCATGGGACTAATGAAAAATTAAAAGTATAATGTGATGACAGTGAGTGTTTTCATGTTATCATTTTTCTCGGTTACTTTTGGTTAATTAATGTTACTTTGGACTACAGATGATAGCCTATTTGCTTATTTATCTCAAAGATAAGCTTCACAAGAAAAGCAGCACAAAACCAGCAAGGGAAGCAAAACACAACCCCTGTCACTGCATCTGATAGAATAATCAGCAATACCTGACTGACTCACTCCTCATCAGGACTGCTCAATAATACTGTAACAAATTTAGAGATAATTGTGGCAATACAGAGTTTAAATAAATAATTTCCACCTTTGTCATTCTGATTGAAGGATTTGCCTGCATCCTATCAGAGTAAAAAGATTGTATTCTAATTCTTGAGTATAAAATAAGAAAACAGTTTAAAAAAGTCAAGAAAGTCCCTGGCTGACTCTGAGGTGCTGTTAGCCAGCATTTATCTGAGATGCTGTTTGGCTGTAGAAGTTTAGAGTCCACCTCATCAGCATTCTGACATAACTGTTTTCTTTTAGACTAGATTATTTTGCCTCCTTAATATTTTCAGAGTTAACTATGAAATGTACCACTTTCTCTCTAAAGATTTTTGCTCTGGAAAGCTCGCTGAGGTTGTCTTTTCCTCACTGTGCCTTTCTTCAAGATGGAGTACATCTCTCCCAACTATGTCTTTTCAGAATTCTTTTCCTACAGAAATTCCTACAAAATTCTTGCCCCACAGACATACATAGCACAGGTTTATATCAAATAGTGCTGTTGGAATTGTTTACTGCTTTTCATTCCCTGTAGTTAACCTCTAAGAGAGAATACAGCATCAGGGACCCTTCTGAAATTTATATCTCAAATTATTAACTAGCAGGTTAATAATTAATTATTAACTAGCAGTGAGATATTTTTAAATAATATTTCTGATCACTGAGCACCTATGGGGAGCATGAAAGTCTTCCTTAGTTCCTTCTAAATGTTTGTGGCAGTGAGAGCCTGGCACGTGTGAATGTCTGTTCTCTTTCCTTTAGAAATGCTTTCTGCCACAGATACAAGTACTCTAAGGTGTCTTTTTGAAGGTTTTTCTTTGTTTCCTGCTATGCCTTCACTGCTAATACTCAAAATAGGTGCTTGGACCATTTGATCTGGACCTGAGACTGCAGCTTCATTCATTGATGCAACAGATAAAGCTCAACCTCGAGTTCAGTGAACTGGAGAGCCTCCTACTCATGTGCTTCAGAAATCATGCAGTGCTAAAGTTCACAGTGACTGCTCCTTGTTACACAGAGCTATTACTTCAGGGATTGGTGCCAGTTCTAGCTGAAGCCTCATGCCATGAAGTGGATGCCTGGTGCCATTTGGTGTCAGCTAACAAGTTGTGGAAGCAGATCTTAACAAACAGAGATGTAATTTAAGACTTTTTTTAAAAAGTCATAAACACAAGAAGATTCTACATCTCACAAGAAAGAATAGTTGCATTTTCCCTAAAATTGCAGCAACCTAATCAACTCACAACCAAATGTCACCTCCGTGTCAGATGTGCAGCTGACATAGGGACTATGCTGGCCAACAGACTGAGAGCTGTATTTTTTCAGCATACTTTGCTGGCATAATCATATTGCTGAACTTCAGGAGACCATTTCAGTCACATTCCACAAAACAGAAGATTTCATACTGTGCCATGAACCCTTGGTCACACCAGTGTTACTGGGCAGAGAAATATAATAGGTCCTTACCTTAACCTGCGTAACAGAGCAGTACTACCTTTCATTTTCTCCACAGGAGGACATGTGCTAGTCTTCATAAGAGAAAAAGTCATTTAGGATATTTACTTAGCTGCTAAGAACAAGCTTTCTTGTTTTCACATGAAAGCATGTCCAAATGGGTAAAAAAGATTTCATTTTTAAAGCAAATTAAAGTGCATTATTAGAGCACTGTAACTAAATTTTCTACTAAAGTTTTTGTCCTTAAGACTTTGAATTAGTGTTTCAGTACTTGGTTGCTTTCACCATGTTACAGATTGAGGGCACTTCCAGTAAGAAACTGCATGAGAAGGAAAGCTGAAGCCCTATCAGTCACTCAGAACAGAGGAAATGCAACAATTAAGGCTTTTCCTGCAATCTTAATTTTTCCTTCTTGTTTGTAGACATTGTAGTATTGTCTTTAATTACATGATCATATACTATTTTGCTGATGTTCAATTCAATTGTTCAGTATTTCTTTTCATCATCATTATTCTTTATGTACCTTATTTTTCAACCTGCCATTCAGACACTTCAATGAACACAAAAGTATTAATTTTTTTTTTCTCTGAGAGTGTGTGGTAATGTTATCTTATCTGAGTGCCTCACAAACATCAGTTAAGTCTTTCTTCCCAATCTCTTTATGAGATTAGGTGTGATCTTCCCCATTTGACAGATGAAGAATTTACAGAAACATAGAAGTACAGAAGCATTAAGATTTAGAAAAAAAAAATTAAGCCCACTTTATGCCAATGTTGAGACATGTGTGATAAGTTGCTAGCACTATTTATGTTTAAAGCATTCAGATCACACTGAAAGCATATTTAAATTGCAATTATTTTTTCTTTGTATATCTGACCTCTGTCCCCTATACTTGCACCCACAAAACAAGTGTAGCATAATGCTAGCATGAAAATTTTGGTGTACTTTGAGATACATTCTTTTGTAGGATCTTCTTTTCTTTGGAGAGATGATATTTTAACTGATTGAATCATCAGTCTATTCTAGAATCCTGCTCATGTTTGCAGTATAGAACTTGACAAGCAGGAAGGGGCCTTTTTCAAGAGGGTCTCTGGAGTGACCCTTAAGTAGTGCTTGAAAGAATTACATTTCTGATTTACAGGGATGCATTTTACTTTCTGTTCTACATAGAAACTAGGTAAGTGTACTTTGCTGACAACACTTCCCCTCCTGAATCACTGACATTAGTTAAAAGATTGTTTTTTTCTAAATATCCTCCCATTTAATTATTTTTTTTTTTCATTTCTTATTGTTCAAATCTTAACATTACCTAGATACCTGTCCAAAATAAATACTTATAATTTTGTTCTGTACTTCTGTATGTAGTGGAGTAGCTATACAACTTTAATATATGCTGTGGTTTGACAGTTAGCATGTTTGTATTGTTGTGAATTGCCTTTATATTGAATTGACTCCTAGGCTAGCTAAATGTGAGCAAAATTAATTCTACTAAATTACCTGCCTCTTTCTTGAAAGAATTTAGTCAGAGGATAAATCTGCAAGAGTAATTATTTAACCAACACCTGTAGACATGACCCCCAGATGGTACTGTCATTATATAAAACTTGGCTATCTAATTTTACCCTTTCCTGAAACCTTTGAGAAAGTTTTAAAATGAAATTACTTAGCAAAAATCAGATTTCATGTGCTCCTTAAAATACCACAGTATTTTTTTATTCCTAACTGCTGGCAAGTTTCCAACAGTTTAGTATGTTTCAAGATCATAATTACTTATATATTAATAATGAGGGAATGAAAATACTGAATAAAGACCAGCTTAGACACAGAACAGTTCAACTGGAGTTGTAGCTAATAATGCAGCTTATTGGCTTATGACACAATATATTCTGTGTCAGTCCCCCATGGAGTTACTTAACCCTACCACTAGATTCCTACAAGCATCAGGAAGAATGTGCACTGACTAAAAATTTTCTCTCTGCTCATACAGCTGGGGTGCTTTCTGATAATTCTGCACCTCTGGCAAAGCTGCTGAAGTGACTTTATGAGAGAAAATTCCATTTATTACTTCCATACAATCTTAAAATTATGACTGCTTGTTGTTCTGCCCTTTAATTTAGTCTTCTTCCCTCTGTTCTCTGGACTGATAGTTAATACTTCTGTTAAATTTACCAGGTGTGATTTCTGTTATTTTGTCACACTGATACTTGCATGCCTACAGCAGAATCTCTCTTACTCTTTGAAGTCCATTCTATTGAAATCAAAATAACAATTATAAAACACATGTCCACTGTTGAAGGTCTTTGCTACATTTATCCTAAGCACTGGTTTATGTCCTCCTCTTTCCTGATCTAAGTAAGATATGGTGAATTTTTGTCTTGCAAGCAGTACAGGGTTAGGTCTAAAAGTACCTAACTTTTTAAAAGCATCATCTTCCTGTAAATTTGCTGGAAGCCTTACTCTGAAGTAAATGAAAAGTCATCATAATGCTTCCTAAATTATTACTTTTTGCTGAATAAAATCTTTAGAAATTACTCCTGACAGTACACACCCCTATATAAAATTCAGCAGAGGAAACTTGTTTGTAATGGTGCTAGAAACTCCTTTTACAGGCTTCAGTGCTCCACTTGACTGAGATGAGGTCACTTGTCTACCTTGGTAGTACTCTACTGATCTAAAGTACAGCAAAATGTAGCTTCCTACATGACAGCAAATGTGGCAAAAATTCATAGCACTTTTAGGTTAATTTTGTTAAACAGAGAAATACAGTATACCTTCTCTGCAGTGAAATGTGTTTGTACATAGATACGTTTGCCAAATAAATACATCAAGTTTCTGGAGACTTTTAGTAATGACAAAATGAGCTTAATACGTATTTATGTTTCTTTTTAGGAACTTGAACAATACAAAAGAAATGCCTCTAAATCCTGGAAAGAAATGGATTTTGACTCCGATTGATGAACTGCTGTGTCTTCAGTTTAACACCATTTACAAAATTATTTTTATAATTTTTACATTGCATTAACAATTTCATCTGATGCAGTTGAAAATATATAATATCAAACTACCAAGTATTTATTTAGTATTTATTAATCATCCCTGTTGTTATTTTTATAAAGGGAGCTGTTTATTCACTCAGTCTAAATTAGTTTATCTTGGCACTGGCAAACCATTTTAAAAAGTGGGGAAAAAGGAATTTTAAATTGCTCTCAGATGGGTTTGTATATGCAGACTGGCATTAGTCAGTTCAACTTAATTTATAAGTTAGAACACATTATTTGATTTACTTTTGAATACTTCTACCCTAAGCATATATTTAAATATAAAGAAGTTTTCACACCCAAAACACGAAATTGTGTAGTGTGCTAGGCATCTTTTTGTAGTTCAAAACAAAAGCTTAAGAATTACTTACATAATTGTTTGATATATTTGCATAAATAAATAAATAAATAAATCTCAAACTGACATAGTAAAGTGGAGTTAAAACCTTCATTGACCTGATTTCAGAAGTGTGCTTTCTCTCTGTCACATCATACAGTTTAATACAGGACTTACTTCTTGCAATGTATAATGTCACACACAGTTTAGAAGATGGATGTTTTTGTCATATATTCAAATGCTAGGAAGTCAGTCTAATTAATTTGATAGATACTTGGTTAGTGCTGAGACTATTACTGGTTCACATGCAGCCTAAAGCAGGAATGGGTTTTTGTCCATGCACACCTCACTAGTGTGAGATGCACTGAGTGTTCAGAGAATACCCAAAACAATCCAGATTAAAGCCAGAGGTGTCTCCCAAGAGCTCACACTTGTCAGAGAGCGAATGTCTGAACAGTCACTTGGCAAACCAGATCAAACCTACATGCTCATAAAAATGGGAAACACAGACTAATTGGTATCTTTCCAGATATTTAAAGCTATTTGTTATTTTTAATATATTTGTTCACCAGATATTTTTCTGATAACATTTCTATCTCAGAATATTTTACATAAAGATGCTAGAAAAATACACTTAAGTGGAAATACTGTATTACCTTGAGGATTGGATTTTAAATTCCTTGTTATGAACTGCCTCATCTCAAAACTATCATATAAAACTAGCTATACAATTACAGAATTTTATGACACATATATACTTACCTCCTTAGAGAAATCTGTCTCTCTGCAAAAACTAATTTCTTCATAGAACATAAAAATAAGATACAAAATTTAGGAATTCTGTGTCTGTTATGTTTTCAATTTTGAAAGGCCCATGAAAGAAATTTCCAAATATGAAAATGGCATTGCTTCTTACAAACAACTTCTATACTTTTTACCTAGTTAAACTTATATTTTATTAAATAAAACCAAAACATTATTAAACATATTTTTTGCCTTGTAATTAATAAAGTGCTTCCAAAACAAGATTAGAACTTGACAGTGGAAAGTTTACTATCATTTACAAGGCAAAACCAACTTGGGTAACTTTGATACTGCTTCAAGATCCTGTATTCATCAATAGTACAGTGTGTATAAGATTAAAGTGGAGTGATTTCTTGATTCTGTCTTTACACGTTTTTGATTTGTTTCCTTTCTACAGATTCCTCAAACGGTATCAAAACAAGGGATAAAACTGAAAATACAATCATAGAAATGAGATTTACTAGCAGGTGGACCCCTCTACTTACTAGTAGTGGTTAAAAAGCAAAATAGTGGGGAAAAACGAGCACCATTGCTATGTTGTTAAAAATTGTTAGCAATAGCTGACTAAATTAAATCAGAGAGCCTTTTAAAACATGAAATACTGTTGATTATTGCTGATCTGGAAATCAGCCAGAAGAGAGGGGTGGGGAATACCAGTACCAGGAGTCATTGACATTCTTAAGAGAACATTGGCTTTCAAGGTGAAAACAAACATGAGAAGATGAATGTGTTTTTATATATGTAATCATTTAAATCCTATCTAAAATCCAATATAAGCCTTTGACCATAATATAGATAAAAGTATAATATAGGAGACAGTTGTAATTGCCACTTTTTCATTGTCTGTCAATAATTCTCTCTTAATTTGAAGGTTAAAATTGCAATAATGGCAAGTACTGGTACAAAAGCATAGAGTATGAGGAAATCAGCTGTGAACCGGGACAATGCCCCAGGATAGTTTTCTTCAATGAACCCGATGCCTTGAGAGAGAACACATGCAGCATTATTTGCAGTGGAACTGTTGGCTGCACCTGTCAAAAGAAACAATTTCTTTAGTAGGTAAATCAGTAAAATTAACACTCAGACTCCAGTCTCTAACTCATGCCTTAAATACACCTCTTCCTGACATCACTTCCATGAAGAACCATACCCACAGGAGTATTTCTCATCACTGTGGGATAAAACCAGACAAACCCTATGTTTCTGCAGTTAATCCATGACATATGTTTTGAAGGGAAGAACAAATGGTCACTAGGAGCTCTCTCTTTTGTTCATGACAAACAAAGATTTATGGCTTTTCAGACACATTATCTGGAGTGACATCAAGAAGCAAGTTGCCCCATGTGGTAGACTTAAAATGTTCATATGTGTTGAGGGTTCCAAAATGCAAGAAACAGTGACTCTCTTGCATTAAAAACTTAAGAAGGGCACATTATAAATGAGGTGTTTACTGGTAATAATAGAGTCATGGATTCATTTTCTAACAGTTGTTGATCTTGTAATAAAGAGGTGCAGGAGTGATGAATAAATAAAAAATATGTAGCCTTGGAGAGGAGCACAGACACCTGGCTACAACACCCCAAATATCTTAGGGCAGGTCCAAAGCTGTAAGTTTCACCCCACTAATGTGTATGAGCTATCCATCCTGCTACCCTGATTTATTCTCTTGTTTTGCAGCAAAGCACAGCCTGACAGACCCAAGCTGATCAGTAAAAACCATGGAAACGCATTTGAACTGAAGCCTCTCTAGTATTAGAGGAGATACCTGGTCAGCTGTTTGTTACCTCTCAATATTCACTCCACTGCTGTCTGATCTTAGATTGTGCAATTCTCTTGATGCTCTATTTGTGTAACAATGCTCAAAAAAAAATTTCCAGCCTGTAATAATCTTAGATTCCAAAACTCCTCCAAAAAGGAGATAAAAGAACAGGTGAAAAAGAGGAAGATGGAAGAACTGGAAGAATGATAAATGGTTGGAACAAAACAATGAAATTCTGCTCTAGCTTGCTGATGTGGCATTATAGTCTTTACTAATTAGTAAGTTCTTTTTAGCAACTAAAAAGTTACATTTATTTTATCAGGATACATGTACATAGAACGAAAATAGGCATCAACATCTCATTAAAATTATTTATAATAGACTTTTTTTGAACACTTACCACATGTGAAGTTTAAGCCATAAAATTCATTGACTACAAGGACTTCACTGCTGTACTTTTGAAATGTAAGAAAACCAAGCACTTTCAAAGGTTTTGGCATTTCTTCAATGGTCCTTAAAGAAATAGAGAAGTTAAGCTGGCTTTTGCTACATACTAAGAGACCCCAAATTAAAACAAGCTCTCACTGTTTTTAACCTATAACAAAATCAGTTCTTGTCTCTACCTGTAGGGTTCTCAAACATAAAGTCCAATTTTAGAGCTAAATGATAAGACAACCATGAAGGCTGTCCCTGACTTCAGTACAGTGTCACAACATTCAGCCCTGACTTGTTTATGAACAGTCACAAAGAATTCTATGGTTGTTTGCTGTTCACATGGCAGTGATAAACAGAAAATGACAAGACTATATAAACCTTACTTGCGAAAATGTTCTGCTTTCAAAGCAAGAAATCCTCCCTCCATCTTCAAAACTAAGTAATACTGAATAGGAATTCATTGCCACAATAATAACAATGCAAAAATGAAGCAAAAATAATGAGAAGAAACATTCAACAAGACAGGGCAATTTCAGCATCTACCATACTTCAAGACTTAGAATTCAACAAAAAAAAAATTAACAGGAAAAAACCCAGCAACCTAAGTCTCAATGCTACTTTTAATGTCCTTCATTACTTATGAAGATTAATCAAAAAGATTCATAATATTAATGAGCAAAGTCCGTGCTGTAAAATAAGGTTAGAAACCACTCTAATGTTTTTAAGTTATCATTAACACATTAGACTACAGTAACAGGAATAAATGTCTTTCACTATAAACATACATCTTCCTGAAATTAGGCAGGGACCAAATAGCTAGACACTAACCTAGCTTTTTATCATAGGTAAGAGCTGAGATCTACTTTAAAGAGAAAAAGCATCATCAGCTTTGTGAAGATTCAGATGGTTTTCTTAAGGACAACAGCATGTGTTGTTAGGCTTCATTTTCACTGGGAGGGTCTCAGGTAAACATATCCTACTTGCTCAATATCTTAAGAAAACTGCTTTTAACAATTACACATTTATTCTGGTATGTCCCTCAAAAAACCCAGTAATTTCAGTATTGACAAACACAAGAGGAAAACTGTTCAAACTTCACACGATTAAAACAAAACCATTTATTTGCACAGTAACAGACCAAGTGGAACACAATTTTCCCACCTATTTACTACACTCCTCAATAATTTCTATAGATTTCAGTCTGTAGGGGTAGAAAAAGTGACTGAAAAGTTTACTGGCTAAATGGATAATAATACTAAGATAGTTGAGAGCAACTGCTTTTTTAAACCAGCATTACCAGTGTTTAATGTCAGAAGTTCCAGCAGTTACTAAAAGATGTAGGAACAGGAATTTTTGGTAGGCTCCTTTAATGAGGACAGCATTTCACATTATCATGTCAGCATCAATAAAAGAATTCAGATGAGCAGATAGATACTAATTTTTCAGTTTTATCTTCAATGTATTTGCAAAAACAGGGAAATCTTCAATATCTTTGTTGATATCTAAAGATACTAAGTGTCTGGTTTTGTGTTAGTACAAGGCCCAACAAGATTAGGTAGTTCTGCCTCTGAAGGAGCTGCTCTTGCTTTTCCATTGCTACCTGTGCATTACTGGATTTCTGCAAAACCAACTTATAGAAACTCTTCCACATCAGTGTTAACAGCAACACTGTAACAAAGTAAGATATTTTCCTACCTTACTAGTCCTGTTCCCACTATCACACCAGCTGAATTAAGTAGCACAATGCCACTCTGAACTAGATTTGGGTCTTGAACCATGCCAAGTATAACAAGTGTTAGTAGTTCACCAATCATGTGAGACACTAGAATAACAGCAAAGAAAATTCCAAATCTGGAAGCATCAGGATGCAATCCTGTAGTCCTGTACAAAGATGAGCAAAAGAACAGTTAAAAAACAATGTTTGGGTAGTAAACTTGGAAAGTAGCTTTTACTTTTGTTTCTATTTGTGATTTTTGCAGCTATAGCTCATTAGGTGAAGAGTTTATGACTTAATCCTTAGTATATTGTACAGAATCTTAACACAAAGGACATCAACTTACTATCACTATGTAAGTGCAGATACATGAGGTTTTCTCCA